TAAATTTACCGATACGTGCAAGCAAAATACAGTCACTCTAAACAGAAGACAATCGTGCCTGTTTCGACAACAGAAGTTCGACATCGTGCCTGTCACTCTAAACAGAAGACAATCGTGCCTCCACATGGTAAGGCAGTTCTCGGCATTTAGATGGCCCTCGATGAAGTCCGAACAAATCTGCATCAGCTGCGAGAGATCGTACTTATTGGCGCAGACCATGGTCGGGAATACATTGCCAGCGCCGAGATTATCAACCGCGTCCGTGTACATAAAACTGCAAGACGGTGAACAGTCACCGGGTGACCATAATTCAAATACTGGAGGCCCATAAGATAATTAGGGGAAGTTAAAATCTCAACAGGACTTTCACTGCGCGGTGTGCCGGGTATAACTTACGTAGCAGGCTAGCAGCACAACCGTGCCATGCTATTAAAGGAATGGACTCTCGACGCAATCTGACATGTCAAGGATTCCTCAACGCACCTGAGCATGTTGGCGAAGGCGTCTGGATGAACATCGGGAATATCGATGACATCGGCACAGTTTCAGGCAGACTCCCGTGGAACATGGTACGGAATAAAGTGCTGCGAATGCTTAAGACGAGTCTAAACAAAATGGACGAACCACTTCAACTAGTATCGGAGCTCACTTCAAAGCATATGTCCAGCGGAATATTGATAAGCATCGGGTAAAGCCCGAAAAGCACAGAGTACTCTTACCTGTGGGCGGAAAAGTGCTGCGCTATGCCAAAATGGTGTAACAACGGAGAAGCACACATCGCTGAATTCTCCACGCGCCAAGATTCGTTTCATGCAGTCTGCGATTCGGCCACTGCCCAACTGTTGCTCCTCAAAAGCCTTCGATGAGCTTGCATTCGTGGACATGGCTGGCTGATTTGATGGGTAACTAATCAATGAACTTTGGTAGAAATTTAGGAAAAAAAGTACTGTCTACGGCATGGAAAAGTATAAAATGCGATACTGTACCAGAGTTCTGCATCGCATCGCAGTATGAATTATCGCATCGCAGCATCGGTGTAGAATAAACCGAAAACGATGACAGAAAAGAGAGGGATCAACTTCAGCCCATACGCACTTGACTGGATCACTGTAGCCAATCAAAAGTCCCAGGAGCTTTGCAATCGTTCAAATAATTTGTTTTTACACAGCTAGTAAACTCACCGTGTGAAGGCCTGGTAACACCGTATCAGCTAGCGAATATCCGAACTGATTGCCAGAATGGTAGTTTGTTAATAATTTTCTGATTTCCGAGCTCATTGTGTTTTACTGTTTATTGTTTGTATAATTGTTTTTTACAGCGAGAAGGGCAAAATGCAGATCATACCCTGGCTGATAGCGAACATCGGCAAGACGCGCTAACGAGCTTTTATTATTTTGCCCGATCGGCGATCGTAAATTTTATTATGGATTACTCCCAAACTCTACCGCGGATGCTTTAAGAGCATTAAGTTTTGGAAAGTTATATGCTGACGGCTGAATCACAAAACCCGAGCGGTACAAAAAAACACAAAAAATCACTCAAAAAATCAAAAAGATCACTGTACAAAAAGCTGACCATAGAAAATGTAGCTAAAGGTCATCAAGGTCGAAAGTCATGCGCTCCCTTGTAAACGGAAACAATAATCCGACAAATGCGGTTACAGAGACAGGCACGTAAAAAGGCCACAAGTACACTGTTAGAAATACTTACGCAAATAAATAAACGCTGAGAAAGATGTCTGGCTAGAACCCAGTTCATTTCCTATTGGTTCTCTTCCATGACTTAACATACGCCTCATGAATCTTCAAATCAGCCATTTCAACCGTCCGGTCTCCGTTCAGACTGACCCGATGCAGCCCATTTTCCTCGGCGCTGACGTAATTTCCATATTCGTTCAAGGAGATGACAAATACCCGCAGACCCCTTTGCAAAATCTCCTGAGCCCGAACCACCTTGTCAATTGTTGCAACGTTCCCCTCGCCGTCGACCCACCACGTGAACACCACGTACTTCTGATGGACCCCGGTAATTCTGGCTGGAACCCAAAAACCAGTGCGCTCAACACTCACAAACACTTCCTCTCCCGTACTCAACACCCTTTGCTGGTTCCTTCGAGGCTCCGTGGAAAACACAACCTGCGGCTTCACTGTGGCGTTCTGGTACACGAACAAACTCAACAATTCCGAATCCGTCAGCAGGCCGCTCTGTTGTGAAGGAAAGATCGACAACTTTGTAACGAAAGCCGAGGTAACACATCTGCAGTAAAATTCTACTGCCCAAAATGTCCACGAACCTTGGTGAGACCGTTTGCGAGTTCGGTGTTGGTCAGGAGCGGAAATCGGACATGGAATAACGCGGCGCCCAACATCTGACGCCGGTTAGCGCCCGAAGCGTCGATACCGTTGCGAGTGCAGGCTGCTGCTGCCCATCTACAACATCGTGTATTAGTGTCACTCTACAACGTACCAACTGTCAGGCTTAGCATTCTACCCACGCTTCACGCACCGGTCGACAGCGAGGTAAATGTCATGTTCCTCCGCAGACAGTGTGTCGCGCTGCAAAACGGCTTCCAACGCTTCCGGAGAGATGTCAGTAAATTCATCGGATTGCAGGACTGCATCAGTGTTCGCATCCACGAAAGTTAGGCACAACTCTTCGAGGCTGTCAGCATGCCAACTCAAGGCCTGCTGACACAAAAACATATCATTAGTGTCCGTAAAGTATGCATTACAGTCTTTACAAATACTCCAAAAAGAATGCAACCGTGCCTGTTGCCATGTGGCCAGACAGTTCTCGGCATTCAAATTGCTCCCGATGAAGGTGGAGCAAATCCGTATCAGCTTCGGCAGATCGTACTTGTCGGCACAGCTCATGGTGGCGAAGACGGTGTCCGCAGTGAGATGATCAACCGCGTCCGTATACATGAAACTGCGAGACAGTGAAAATGATCAACATCCCGCAAAACCTTCCTAAAGTTTAATTTATTCTGGAATTCCAGGTGTACGTAAACTGTAAAGCAGTGCGATGACAGTGCACATTGTGAAGCTTACCAGCAGCGAAACATACGCAAAACCGCGAGTCAGCGTACCTGAGCATATTGGCAAATGCGTCTGTGTGAACATCTGGAATCTCGATGGCATCGGCGCACTTTTCTGGCAGGCTTCCGAAGAACATCGTGCGGAACACAGCGCTCCGACCGCTTAGGATGAGTCTATACACGTTTATAAAACATTTCTTGAAACTTTTATAGACAAACTCGGGACAAGCAGCTGTCTTACTTGTGTGCGGGAAAGGTCTGCACTTTGCCGAAGTCACGTCCCACTGTAAAGCATACATCGCTGAGTTCTCCGCTCGCTAACGTTCGTTTCATCAAGTCAACTATTCCGTCACTGTCCAACTTTTGTCTCTTCGCTCGCTTGGTGGGAGTTGCATTCGTCGACATGGTTGATAATATCATCCATAGATCAAACAAACCCACGAAATATACGAAGATAGATAGAAAACAAAATTACACGCACTTGTACCGACAAAAGCGGAACCATAAGAAATGAGAAGTCACGTTGCAACGAATGACCATCGTACTGTAGTTTTAAATACCGACTCGAAAGCCAAGTAAAGCCTGTAAAGGCCGAACCAGGATGTTGATTTTAGATGGATAGTCAGCTACCCAGAGGAGGTGCCATGGAGAGCTCTTTTAACTTGCAACGTCCACATGGATTGCTTTAAGTTTAATGTTTAAGTTTAATGGTTTAACGTCCGCACACATTCAGGGAAAAATCCCAATTCGGGGCAGCAGACACTCACAACAACACCAGTTCTCCAGAATACACAGTATTTCAGATCAAGCTTCAAACAATAATACAGCAGCTTTTTAAACAAGAATACTGCAGCGTATTTAAACACACAACTCAGTATACCCACTCCCTTACAAACACATTTGTAGGCCAAATCTCAGGTTCCAAAATTTTTTTCGCCATGTCTTTAAACGTACCGATGCGGGCAAACGTGGAAGATCGTCTATCTCCACGAGCAGGAACGTATACACTCACAAATCTTGTGGGAATTCCTACATCTTCCAGCTGTTTGGCAATGAACGCATTGTAGTCCTTAACACTGTCAAACTTCGAATCCTCAACCCGTGGGATACCTCTCACACAAAAGTCCGCATGTGGCTGGTGCTTGGCTTGTAGTGTTTCCGTCAGTTCTCTCGAGGGTCCCTCACTCGTTCCAGTACGCGTGCCACGCACAACCTTCGGTGCCTTCTTGATAACGGATGCGTAAGACTGTGGTTTCATCGCCAGTGTAGGATGGTTCGTGGATGTGGTGGGGTTCTTCGATTGTGACTGGGCAAGCTGTCTTTTTCCGAGTTTCGCAGGGACAATCCTCTTAGGGCTCCAGACTTTACCCGCTTGCTTCAAGCCAGAAATGTCTACCGAATAGTCCGTCACTCCAAAATGTTCGTCCACAGTTTGCACATAATCGGGGTCTTCCTTCATGTACTCATCCATCCCATTCCACTGGTGACCAACTGCACACTCAACCAGAAACACTCTTTCACACAATTCCTCAATATTTTTATCAATCGCTTCCACATTAACCAGGGACGGAGGTGCATCAGGGGAGTGATGAGCTACAGAAGAAGACGACACATCGACGTGCTGAGCCAACTGCTCTGTTAGGGTCTTGTTGAGGGCCGTCAGCTGCTCTACCTTCTCATTCAGGATTTCCACAAAGCTAACCAACGTTTTAAACTGAGGTATGAATTTTGTCCAAACAACACTAGAACCATTTAAGTCATACAGAGAACGGGGGAAACTCATTTTCACAAAATATTCAAAAAATGTTGTTGCTGAAAATAGTGCGTACTTTGTTCCTTTTTCGGAAGTGTGTTAGTTAATGCTTTGAGTGCTTTCCAGTTTGAAGTTGTTGTCTTCTGCTAGTAAGCTGTGTGGTTTTTCACTTGCTCTTCGTGTCAGTCCTGGAAGCCAGTTAGTCATACTCCGACTGCCACAACATTATTTGATCAGAGACTACTCACTGTTGTCAGTGTTCAACATCAAAATGGCCTCCATCCCTCCTGCATCGCGGACGGTTACTCCACAGGACGATCCTGCCTCCAGCGTTCTGGGTTGCCTGAAAGAGACATTAAGCAGCGGAGAATTTAGTGATATGCAGTTCGCCCTTGGACGTCAGTTTGGCCCAGTGAAGATCTTCCAAGCGCACAAGTAATGTTCCTATAGCATTCAATCGTTGATGGGATGCTTGTGGAACCGAGCTGCTACGAGTTCCATTCTTATCTTGCTTTATTCTAGATACATTCTGAGTATGCGCAGCCCCGTTTTCCGTGCCATGTTCTTTGGCAGTTTGCCCGAAAGCTGCGACGGTCCCATCGAGATCGCGGATTTTATTCCCGACGCGTTCGCCAATTTGCTGAGGTGCACTCGTGGTACCCTGATTTTTTGAATTGCGCCCGAAAAACATTAAGAGGCTCCGCGTGTGTTGAGTATCAATGGAGTGCTTGATTTGCAGTTACATGTACACGGATAAAGCGGAGAATCTGAGCGCAGACAACGTGTTCCACACGATGAACTCTGCTGACAAGTACGACTTTGCGCCATTGATACAGGTGTGCCTGGAGATGATCTACAGCCAGCTGAACGTCGACAACTGTCTATCCGCCTTGGAACAAGTGCGACCTGTGAAGCTCGTAACAGCTAGCCAGATTGCTGACTGCTGAAGTGTACTGACTACGAGGAGAAAATTGCAGGCGCTTCACTGGCATGCAGACGGTATCGTGGAGAAGTGCTTGAATTTGCTGGATGAGGAGAGTCTGGCGATCTTGCAGTCGCCGACATTTACTGCCATCAGTAAGGACCTGCTAGAGATAATTCTGGAGCGCGAAACCTTGTCCGCTGAGGAGTATGACATCTATTTGGCTGTTGAAGAGTAAGTAACTGTGTGATTACATCCATATCAGTGACATTTTCACTGCGGGAGTTTGCCGTAAAACTGTGTTGTTGCAGATGGGACCATGAAGCTTGTCAGCGGGAGGGTATGGATACATCCGCCGATAATCGGCGCCAGATGCTCGGCTCCGCATTGTACATGCTGCGGTTCCCTCTGTTGACCAGCGGACAACTGGCTGACGGCCCCGCACAGGTTGGCTCCTGTTTTCTTGACGCATTTTTATTTTACGAGTGTCAGAGTGTTGTGCGTATAGCACAGGGATATTGGCACGGACGCCTCACCATCATTGGCCCGGCTCACCATCTGCCAGCTTTCCAAACACGACTGATCGTGTTTGCCATTCGAGTGCCAGCATCGGAATCGACAACATCGATTCCTTCTTAGCCTTCTGATTTCATGCCCTTTTCCCCATTAGATTTTGTTTTTGAGGATGTTTTAGCATTTATTTCTATGAAATAAAGCGATCATTTCGAGGAGATGTTGTTTCCGTTGTCGTTTCTCTGTACAGCGTAGACGCTTCTCCGAGATGGTGGAGATGCCTTAAGATCCCTGTCATTCCCTCTAGTTTTGCACTCGATAACAGCGTTCTCTGGTAAACGCTGTAGCACGGGAGTTTCCTCCTTCTCAGTGGAGACCTCGGTCCACCAGCGATAGCCCACATCAACCAGCAGCAGAAGAATTTCATCAACTGAAGCAAGGAGCGTCGCTGGTTCGGAAGGCACGCGGCCGCCAGCAAGGAGAAGAACCGCGGACAACGTATCGAAGTGGTAGGCATTAAGCCTATAATTTTGAATCTAATAGGATAAATTCCTTAAAGGACGGATTATTTCTGCCAAGAAAATAGTGTCTTATAGAAACTAGCGTTTTACAAAAACGGGGAAGGAAGAGAACGATCGTTCTTGACTAAACTGGATATTGTATAGTTAAAAGTTTGACCAAAATGAAGAAAGTTTTGGCTATCGTAATAGATGGCAGAGTTGTGCGGATTATTGTAACAGATATCGTTGTGGTGTATTTGGATGACATCCTTCTGTAAGAGAACGATCGTTCTATTTTGAGAATATCGTTTGATTTGATTATTAACAGAGCGCACAAATTACTGTTCGCAAAGGTTATTTGTAACGGAGCGATGGCTCAGTGGAGCGGAATTCCCCATTCTGTCTGAAAGTCATGTCAAAGAACTAGCTGATTCCTATCAGCGATAGCCGTTCTTTCGTGTAAGTATAGCTGCAGAGCAGCTCAATAGAATTGTGTGGGGCAGGCCATTCATAGCCGCCCAGGCCAATCTTCTGAACTGTACAAAATCGAAAACTGCAAAGCAGTCCTGTAGCATAACAGAAAAATAAGTTTAGATTTTGACGATAACTACTATCATTTGATATTTCTCGAGTTCGACAATACCGTAGCGGATGGCATAATGCCGATACACCGCTCCCCGACCAGAAAACAACCAGCCATTGATAGGCTGAAGCAAGGCGTGGAGGACGTGTTAAAGTCGGCCAGTAAAGTGTTAAATCGAATAACCGAAGACCCAGCAAAGGCTGGTACGAGCGGGGCTCCACAACCGGACAAAGTAACCCGTAGTAAGGCAAATCAGCTGAAAGAGGCAGGTGTGGAAATTACCCACAAAGTCCTCCAGGATAAAACCCGTAAGCCGCGTAAGGCAACCGTAATGGATCAAGGAGATAATCTCCTTGATACACCAGTAATGGAGCCGCCTGATCAGTTGTTTTTCAGGCCGCTAACGCCAGATAAAGTTAGACAGGTCAATCCCGATAATCGGGAAGAGGAACGCGCGCCTGCGCCGGAACGATCTGAATGTGCTACAGAGTCAACGGCCACGACAGGGTCGTTTTCTCAAGTGAGCGAAAGCGAGCTGAATAAGTCCGCAACGACGGACGAAGAGGAGGAACCGGTAACAGTTGTGCCTACCACATTGCGTAAAACGCAATCATACACTGCTAATCTAAATGAATTGCTGAATTCTGCGGCTAAGCCGGCAACAGGTTCCACTATTGTGGAATTAAAACAGGCGACCGAAACTATTTCGGCAAACCAAGTGTTGATAAAAGATGTGCAGAGGAAGCTAGAAGTAGCTGAGGACGAAGTCCAGCACCACAAAAATCAGTACCAGCACGCCCATAGCTCCTTTAAAAATATGGAGAAAATTGTGTTGGGCTTGCGGGCCGTAATAGGCGAAAAGGATGCGGCGATTGCCGAGTTAAAAGCGAAAGTAGACGAGGGTCGTGTCAGAAATTCCGAAATGAATCAGCAATTAGCTGAGAAGGACACCATGCTTGATCAAGTGTGGCAAGAAAACCAGCGATTAAAGACCGTTAATTTCAATCATGTAACGGATTTGAAGAATGTGCAGTCGATGCTGCATGAAAGTCAAACCGAACATAAGTCCCTTGTTGGGAGATTCAATTCACTAGCAAAAGACTACCGAGTGTTGTACGACCGGCAGATGAACCCGGAGGCCGTAGAATACGGCGAGCGACCGCTCAGCAGGGCATATGCCGGTAATACCAAGCAGAATCATCCGTGTACAGCAGGCAATGAACACGAGTGCTGACAGCAATCGGCAATGAACGAGAGTGGCTTTCGGGAAATGCCGAGTGCTGATAAGCAGCAATATCTCCGCAGTATTTTGCGGGAAGAAATTCAACGAGCAGGCATTGGACAAAGCAGGACAGTAAGTCCTGTAAGAAAATCGGACTTGGTTGATGTAATGCGCCAACCAGTACCGCGCCCGAGCTACAATGGTAGCAAAGAAGATATCGACAGCTTTATAATAAAGTTTGATCAAGCAGCCACCGCAAATCGGTGGACTACAGATGAGAGAAAAATAACGGAGTTGGCGTATTGCCTAAAGGATGAAGCTATCGTATGGTATAATGGACTGAACACGTCGAACGCTGCTCCCACCACGTATCGTGAATGGAAACAGCAGTTAATCGCCAGATTTGGCGATTCAAAACGATCGGTTAACGCGTTAGCAGAGCTGACAAATCGTAACTACCGACCTGGCCAGGAAACTCTAGAAAGTTACTACCAGGCCATGATGACTTTGCGCGATCGCGCGGGGTTTAAAGGCACACCTGAACAATTCGTGTCATTTTTAATGCGCGGATTAAAACCGCATGAGAAACTCCATGATAAAATGGAAGTCATGCGACCAGATACTCCCGAGAGATTTCTCGAAATACTGCGATATTTGTCATCAAATAATCCGGAAAAATACGTTATTCCGATCGGCAATGTCCGACGCAAGCAGGAGAGGGATACCGATGCAGTCACTGTGCGAACAGCACAAGTCCAATCGAAGTCATACGCGGCAGCGGCAGCCAGCCCGCCGCGACCAAATAGCAAGAACGGTGGAAAACCGAGTTACGGTAATCGTAACAGTAATAATAACAACATTCGCAGCAATATCAGCAAAGCTGACAGTAATGATAGTCGAATTAGCCAAGACGATAACCGTGCGCCGTCTCGTAAGGAGCAATGGGCAAATAACATTAATAGAATACAAGAAGTGACCGATCGGTCACCGGCCCTGCAGAAAACTCTGCGTGGCAACCGAGTGGTGAAGTACTGCCAGCACTGTGATTTGTGCGGACATTACTTCCGTGACTGTCAGTTTCGCGATAAACCGCGATGTGAAAACCCAACTTACTTGGCCTACCATGATCCAGAAACTGGGAATCGGCGATATGCCGCCGATTTCTATCAGCGCCGTAGTGGTAGTCAGTCAGGGAGCGAACCTAATTCGCCGGCAAGGCCGAGGAGTAATTCCCGGCAAAGTATCGGCCCGGTGGAAGATCGGATACGTCCGACTCCAGGATCACCGTTACCGGATAATAATCCGTTTTCGGGTTTGGCTGATCAGGAAAACGAGGAAGGGCGGTAAATTCCGGCTTTACCGACCCGATTCCGCCCAAACCGCCGGACAAAATCGAAAGAGTTACAATCAACGGATTGCGCATCGTTGAACCCGATGAATCATCGGATAGCAGCAATGCTACTATTAACTTTTGTACTGCTGTAATCAATTACTGAACCTAGACGCGCACATCCACTAATGTTGGATGCAACTATAAACGGGCGCGAAGCGCCAGTAATGATAGACACAGGAGCAGAAACATCGTTAATCTCTAGCGAATTTGCTACGGAAATATGCGCTGCGAAAATTCCACTAATTAAGTCTCTGCATATCCGCGGTATTGGCGGAGTGCGCGGCTTTTTAGTAACGCATTACTGCCGGATAATTATTAAAATACGCGACTTTGAAGCCATCCATTCGGTTTATATTAAACCGACGACCGATGAAATTAAAGTCTTGCTAGGTCAGGACTTCTTGCAGCATACTTTCTATGCAGTACGGAACAATAAATTGCGTTATCTGGAGTATCAACCAGATGGAAAATCAGGCCCGCTTATAATAAGTGAATCGGTGTCGCCTGTTATTCAGACGATAAACACCGTGGAGGAGAAAGTCTTCCCGATACCCGTGGCAACGGGAAAAGTACAGGCTAACGGGCCAAATGAATTATCAGAAAAAGACGGTAATGTACAAAAAGGGAGCAAAGTCTTCCCGATACCCGTGGCAAAAGCCACAATCAAATCCGTATTAAAAAAACCAGCGAAAATCCGCTTGGCAACAAAATCAACGTTCAGACGCTTATGGGGTGAATACAGAATTTTGGTAAAAGAAATTCAGGAACTAGTAGAAGCGAAGGAGAGCGGTACAAACGTTATGTACCTTTTTATGGATGAGGACGTACCAATCCCGGGGATCGACTCTGTAAAAGCAGAAGAAATTGTCCGCAACCTAGCGAAGCAGTATAAAGCGGAATATTCCGCTCTGGAAGAAAAACAACGTCAGTTAAATGAAATATTTAGGCATTTAAAAATACCACTACCGTACGTACTACGGACACCTTTGCGCGTATTAGCGCAATTAGAACGGCGTAAGCTACCAGTATTGCCTTACCAGTTGAAGGAGTGTAAACCGCTCGATAATTATGTTAATGAAACGGTTGTAAAAACCATAGCTAACCATAATCGGTCAGTCAGTTTTGCGCCGATGGCGCGGGTAGTTGAATTTTTAAAAGACGATCCGTCTATCGTAGTGAGGAATACTCTCGATACTGCCGCCACTAACAAAACTAATAATAATTTAATTAATCAAGCTAGCATCGAAGTAGTACCGCATCCTAATAATTTAATTATCGTAAATGCAGAATTGGTAGGGCCCACTGATTCTGCCGAGATCACTAATGAATCTCCGACTTGGGAATTTTCCCAGTCTCCGAACATTAACCCTTC